TCACGGATAGGCGCTCCCGCGTCGCTTTCCTTATCGACACAGGAGCCGAAGTGCGCGTTATTCCTGCCAGCGCACTAGACAAGCATTCGGAGCCCACGTACAATCTACGGGCAACCAACGGCTCACCGATAGCTTCGTACGGTCAGCGCATGATGAACCTAGATTTAAATCTCCGCAGAGACTTCCACTGGGTTTTCACGTTTGCGTCAGTACCTTCCACAATTGTCGGCATTGATTTTCCTCGCTATTTTGAATTGGTTGTTGACGCGGGTCGTCACAGAATTATAGGTGATCATACGAAACTAGGTGTTGATGGCGTTCTTTCGGATTCTCCGATAATCAACACTGTATTTCGGATATCAGACGCACTGTGCGACTATTTGAGCCTCCTCTCCGAACACCCGCGACTGGTTCGATCGGCTTTATAGCTTTCACCATTCAGGACAAAGGTCGCCCACCACATAGTCACGCGTGGTCAGCCAGTTAGCGCACGACCAAGACGGCTTGCTCCTGACAAACTACGGGCAGCACGAGCTGAATTCGACCACATGCTTCAGCTCGGTATCGTTAGACCGTCCAACAGCCTATGGGAGTCACCTCTGCACATGGTCCCGAAGAAGGTCATGGGGGACTGGCGTCCTTGCGGCGACTATCGAACCTTGAATACAGTTACCACGCAAGATCGCTATCCGATCCCATAGTGGACCTCACCGCCATCCTGGCCGGCAAAAATATCTTCAGCATAATCGACTTGGTACGCGCATACAACATAATTCCGGTAGCCAAAGCCTACATCGCTAAAACTGTCGTGACGACTCCATTCGCTTTGTTTGAGTTTCTGCCCATGCCATTTGGTCTCAAGAATGCCGCGCAAACTTTCCAGCGCTTCATCAACCAAGTCTGTCGCGGCTTAGACTCCGCTTACGCGTACCTCGATGACAATTTAATTTCGAGCTCTTCAAGAGAAAAGCACATGCGCCACGTACGAACACATTTTGATCGTTTATCTCAAAACTGACGATCAACGCAGAAAGGTGTTCGTTTGGTGTCCACTCAGTCAAATTCCTCGGCCATCGTATCACCTCTGCAGACGTGGTTCCAATGCAGAATAAAATTCAAGCCATCATCGACTACTCTGAATTTCATTCTTTCAAACAGCTCAGGCGTTTTGATGGCCTTGTCAACTTTTACCGACGATTTATACCCAACTGCGCCTCGCTGATGCAACCCCTCACGGACCTTCAGACGAAAACACAAGAAATTCGAATTTCATGCCGCAGCACGCGCTGCTTTTAAGTCGCTGAAAGAGGCTATCGCCAACATAGCTTCTATAGCGCATCACGATCCGGCAGCCCCAATGACCCTCAGTACTGACGCCTCGGACGTGACAGTCGGCGCCGTTTCGCAGCAACGAGAGTCAACACGTCATCCTTAAGTAAGACGGTGTGTTCAGGACATATGTTTGCATCAGTTTATGTGTGCAAGATACATCGCGCAACAAACCAACATTATGAATACATTCGTCCATTGGGAAATACATAGAAGTCATTTTTCCTAAAAGTTGTATCTTACAGAGAGAAACTAATGTCAGATTTGAATCCAGCACGTTCAATATACATAAGACCCACCGTTAATTTCTTTTCAGTCCTATGCTTTTGTGCAACGTGATGAATTGAGAAGTAGCTAAACGGTAAGAAAAGTGAAATTTTGGGCTGATTTTCAGAAAAAAACTAATGGCAAATTTGAATTCAGCATGTTTAAATTATACGAGAAGCGTCCGTTTCCATGCATCGTATATGTTGTTGCCCTGTGTAATCGAAGTAACCAATCAACACGACCTATCCTATAGGTATCGACAATGAAGCAACTTTGAAGATACTGCATGGGGTCCGACAACCGACTCGACCGAGCATTCATCTCGCTACCAATGCCCACATTCTTCGCAATGCAGATAATGGATTGGGTATTCTAAAAGAAATTTAATCTAATGGACATCTGACTGAAGTCGGATGGTACACATACGAAACAATAAAAAGCTGCAGTGTTTATTAGACCCTATAGAAGTCCGAATTCGAATGATACCCCTGAATCTGGCCACTGGGATCCATGCAAATAGATTAGTTTTAGCACACTTGTTGAGGGCTATACGGTTATCACCAGAAACGTGACAAATGGAGTCAATGCCGATATAGTGTAAAACCCCCGCAGTTGACCACCTCTATATTCTGAGAAGCTATTAAAGTTGATCGTTTTAGGATGCATAATGTAAACATTCACTATGCATCCTCATAGATCCAAATGTCTATACGTTGACCACTTCTCTATGTTGAGCATTTAGGTTTAATCCATCGAGTGGTCAACTCATGGGGGTTTTAATGTATAACAAACCAAGTAGTCCGCAGTCCATTACGAAGTTGCAATCTTGTATGCATGTTTTGGAAATATAACAAAACGTCAACGCCAAGGGAGTGAAGAATGAGTGCTGACACTAGCTGATGACTTAACTGTCATAAAACTGGAAAGTCGAAGGAAGCAGCAAAAGCAGCTTTACGTATTCCGGAAACCAGTGTGGCATCTCGGAGGCTCGACTCTCTTGGCAGCAGGTAGGTGTCAAGCTGTGCAGCAGAATTGCTCCGTCGGAAGTTAAGGTGCATGGTTCAGAAGCCCGAATAATGCGCGACATGAACACAAAGCGAATACGTGTTCTTATTCAACGAGGAACTGCTCCTAACCATTGGGATCCAGCGAGTGAAGACTAGTGGTGTTGGTTCCAAATTCTGCTGCTTTTATTTACTGCGGTTTTGAAGTAGATCATCGTGCTTATCCGAGATACGGCAGATCGACCACAGCAGATATGTGTAAATATTTTGCAGTAAAATTTTATGGATAAGTCGGGCAGATAAGCATCGATTCCCGAGTTAACCAAGTGTATGAGATTGCAAACGGAATCATGGTTTGAATGCTAAAACATGCACACCTACTGAGAAAGCCATTGCAGAAAACACGGGTGATGAGACAAGGTTGCAAGGGATTTGCAGTAAAAATTATCTTAGATAATTCTGTATGTTTGAACTTAATCGACTTGTTTAATCGAGAACCACGACGGCTAGGAAGGATGCGCTTTCCGAGGGAACTAGTGTTATGTACATCAGGGAGCCAATAAACGAAACAGAAAGCGCAGGCGTAATGTGGAACCGTTTTAATGAAAATTTCCTACGTTACAGAGGCTAGAGATGCAGAAACAGAAAACCAATGAAATGAGGTAGGTAAGGCAAGGTCATTGTCAACCAATCATTGGAGCACTTGCGTTCACGATCAATATTCAAGTACAGGCATGACAGTATACTATAAGCAAAGATACTCAGTCGTTCCAACCGGCGATAGCGCACGCAAAATACCTGCGCACTCCCGTATGCCCCTGTGACGCTGCATTCCTCGTTGCGTAAAAGCCAACCTCAACAGGCCTCTTATTTCGTGTTGCTGTTCCCAACTCAACCACTTCCAAGTAACTCTAGCTTCCTCATGCCACCTGTTCGTTGAAGATACTAGTGAGTCACCACAGTGATTCCGTCGGTCGTTTTGGTGAGAATGATTAAGGTTCATGGTTAGGTTAGTATCACAACTCAGATTGGAATCTTTTGCTTGTTACTACCAAGTAGATAATGAGATGTAATCCCATGTGATTGCATGAACGGACGCAATAATCAACCACGCATCCAATTAGAAGATATAATTATAAAAATTTCACATTCAGAGATTTTCTCCGCTTAGCGCGTGATCCGCTGCATCAAGCTTAATGGAACTCTGAACAACTCATAACTGTCATGAAAATGCCAGAATGATGAGGCGTTCGGCATAGACACTTCACGCAGCTCGGCTAAACAACGCCAAGATCCAGTCTTGTCATAATGGGGAAAAAGTTAAGCGTAGGTGTATATATTTGTTACCAGGAAAAGAACCCAACGCCGATTAAGCCCTACCGCGGTGGACCAATTCGCGAACTAAAACTATCATTAAGGAACGGGTGAGCCCATGCATGTCGAGCACGTCTGATTGGACTTCGTGAGCAATAGCCCGAAAGGAAATAGATTCTAGAAGCGCCGAAATGGTGCTATCCGAAAAATGACTTCGCGAATGAACTTCAGAAGACTATGTAGGTGCTTCCTTATTAACTAAATTGAATTTGTATGTTAAAGTAGAGTAAATTTTATATCGCAACCGAAATGTAGGAAGGTGGGGTAATAAAGATATCGCATCTCGATTGACGTGAAATGATAAAATGAGCTGATGGCGAAGCAGCATGTCGGATGAAGGTTAATAAAAAGCCCAAGTTTAAGGGGATACACTGGATCATTATGCTGGTAACGGAAGTTGTAAAACAAGGGACACTTGGTTGATACCTAATAACACATTAGGATTTTCTCGGTCTGGTCCAAAACACGTGGTTTGAATAGGACTGGGGAACCTAGTGGTACGTCTAGAACAGAGAGAGCTACATAACGGTAGGCACTAACCACTGTGTGAAAGATAGTCGGACTGTGAAAAAAGCCATGGGAAGTGTCACGTAAACTGCAGGAGAGTAGGTGAAGAAAGAAAATGGATTTACAAATAAATCGTCTTACTTACTTCCCTAGCCTTGAAAATAATGCTGCTTGAATTCAACAGCCAGAGCCGAGAGTAAGAGGAGGGATGTCGTGATTGACGGCTGAAGTACTTATCACTAGGCCACGTCCACAACCGTTGCCGGCCCCTCGCTAGCAGCCCAGAGGCGTTTGGCCTGACGCAACTTGAAACTAATTAGCTAAAGATTGAGGGCGGTTCACCTTGAAGTCTAGTAATGAGAATAATCTACCTTGAAGTCTGCAAGCGAGCACACTCTTCGGCCAGGCAACAAACACAATGCCAGGCAACTAGTAGTTGCCGGAGTCCAGGAATTACATATGTCGACCCCGTTTTGGGCTATACACACTGTTATGTCGGGAGCACAATAGAGGCCATGTTGCTTCAGTATGCGCAATAGCAGCAGAAGAAAACAGGACATAAAGTGCCAGAATGATTGTCCACAATAAGTAAAAACAAGTGAAGTGATGTGGTTTACGGGCAATCAACAAAGATTCTCCCCGAAGTGTTTCGAATGTTTAGTTCAAGACAAGCAATCAAGCAGATGATGAGTAAACCCCGTAGCTAAAGTTGCAATCTAACGAAGATGGAAAAGAAAAAGTAACTACCATCTAATAGCATTCCAGTTCAACCAACCAAGACGCAAGGACGCGAAAAAGAGAGCGCTCTATAGTTCCAGTAGGACCGATACTATCTCTGCGAGTTCTGCCAAGAGAAAACTATATTATGTCAAGTATAAGTCGCTACTACCACTTAGACGGATAAAATGGCAGTACATGTAGCGACCTAGACGATACGAAAGTCCCAATATCAAAGGCAACCCATTAAAAAGATGATAGATAAACAATGGTATAAAGCATGTACGATGAAGATGAAATCGATTGGTGACAAATTGGTACATATGTACACTCAAGAAAATAGAACATGTTGGGATGTGGCGTGGCTCAACGCTATAGATTCTTTTTCGTTCGTTTTTGCGAACGCGACATGCGTCCCTTGGCCTTTGGAAGTTTGTTGGTGCCAGGCTTTGCTTTTCCACGTTGGCCCAGTCGATTGCGATGTCGATGTTTAGGACCAAATCTCTTCGGAAGAACGCGAGAGCGATGCTGCATCTTTACGTTTCGTGATATCGATTTCCGGTTAGGTTTTGCTTCAGGACGGCCAATTCCACGATTTCGAGGAGTTGTAGGATTAACGAAAGGAGTGGAATTGCTTTCGGAGGATGCATTCTTTCGTTTCATCTGAATAGCCTAATATAAGTAGAAATACGGAAGTTAGAGAGAAGATGCAGCGACGAAATCTTAACACATAGTAGACGAGACGGTATCGCGTTGCACGTCTAATTGGCGCTAAAGGATATAAACCAGCAAATTGAGTGCACAGAATGAAGTGCACACGTGTAAGGAAATATTGTAAAGGTTTCAATGGGCACTGGCGAACGATACGGAGATAGCCAAATACTGCAAGAGGGAGCAGAAGAAAGTGATAGACTTGCAGCCAATAGGGCACGCAAAAGGGGAGCTAAGCCTGTAGTAGCTCCAATGGACTGTACATTAATAGTGAAAAAAATGGCGTAACAAATAGTGCATCTCATCGAACCATTATGCAGCGCTGATAATGCAGCCAGAAAATTTAACAGGCATTGGCTAAGCAAATGAATTGTCTGGGGTTCTTCGAGATCATGGCCTAATAATAAGCAACCTTAGGCCAGTGAGATACCAAACCTTTTAACAGGCAAATTCAAGCATAGTGTTAGTTAGTGTGTTAAAAAACCAAAATAACGTGTTGTTCATTCAAGTTCACGCGCGCATCAATTCATTCTCTCCCTAAGGGGTTACATGTATGCACTATCAGTGACACTCTTGTTGGTCATGGGACATTAGCTAATGGGACTAGCTGGATGTATGCGTCTATGGGGGACAGGTATGTTCCCGTGTAGGTTGACACACTGAGTGTCAGTGACAGAGGTCACCAATAGTACGTCAGACTGTAGCTGGTCAACCTAACATGAAGTGTCTGAACATTCTCCATCAGCACCATTTTAACAAATCCGTTGTCGAAAAGAGCTACCATTGGTTCGTATTCTGTCCCGGCCGGTAGCCGGTCCCTGTGCCAAATTTCTAGCGCTTGTCCGAGCAAACCGTAACGAATCGAACGCACAATATGTGACCGGTCCAAGGTGTACAGTACCAGTGGCACATTTAGGCTCCAGGTTAGTATTGCCTCTGGTCAAAACAAAATACCGCATGAAGACATATTTCACATCAAGTGAAAAGCTGTGATAATAGTAGCACAGAAAAAACACGCACGGGTGGTGTCTTGTTCCTGCGAGAATAATATCAAGTTATGTTTTTATATTTGCTGCATTCCTGGAAAGGTAATTGCCCCACATGTTTGTCTTATGCGATGGTAGAAGGCAAGTTTGCAGTTTAAGTATGCTATTGACACTTAGGACTAATTACATTGTGTGAAGTGATGATATTACATTCATTAGACATTATCTGGGCTTTCACTGAATGGATGTTGAAACGATCTTCCTCAGAAAAAGGACATAATGGTGTCCAGGTGGAGGTAGCTTCGCAACCTACTGCGAAAGAATTGCACAGTCTCATACGACTTGATAGTGAATAGTAGTCCATTCCACAGAGAAGCGTATACGATGAGACAAAAGATAAACCGCAAAAATTTGTTCTGCATCGTCGTGTAAGCAGGCCAAGCTCTTTGTTACACAGGCATCGCGTGTAATTATGCTTCAATGTTAAGGTGGATCGATTGCAATGGCTTTTGCCATGAATTAGATTGTGTAGCAGCCCCAAGTTCTCTTTTAAATAAATAAATAAATAAATGGTATATTCTCGGCAAAACGGGGCACACCGGTGAAAGCGCGATCAAACACGCATACAAGCATAGCTGCATTCGTTTCAATGAAAGATATAACCGAAATGTTCGTAGTTCATACGAGTGATCATTTTGTCAGGTAATAGTCCAACCCAGGAACATGATGGTGCCGGGACGCGAAAAAAGTAGTCATAACTGCTGTGTCAATATTCAAGTTCGGCGTGATTTCGCCATGTAGTAAACCATGAGCACAGGAGCAAGTAAGATTTCGGTACAATCGTTGTCCATTAAAAGCTCGGAATGTTCGGTGCTCCATCAAAGCATTCTCCACAGCAAAATCGGTTGCATAGGTTGTACGTAGAAGCCTGATAATTGTGTCAGTGTGAAATGTTCAGCTATGACTTTATTCAGTGGCGAGTCACGTCCGCCACGTCAGTGTTGTTAAGTGGACATTTGTGGATTTTATAGGAAGAACGATTGCCAGGCGAAAACGCACCACGCCCTGGAACACTACCATAGCTTTTTTTGAACAGTAGTACAAGCCGGCGATGCATCGTACAGATCGATTTTAAACGCTGCTATTCGCAGTCGGTTGACGGTCAAATTACTTTGCTGGTTGACTGATTGGCTTCATAATGATCCGGCAGTAGCCGTGGAAATCACGCAATGATGCAAAAGCTATAGAGTCGAAGGATAAATGGTGTAGGTGAGTAAAAACATTGTTAATAGGGGCTGGCTTCCTCTGTCCGGTTCGCAGACCATGTCCAGCTATCCACGCTGGACTTGCCATGCGTATGGTCAGTGTAGTTGCTCCTTCTGACTGAATACGCCCATAACAGGCGAAAATGCCATTTCTTTGTCCAATGCGGGATCGTTATGTATTTCTTAGTCCGCAAAAATAGGAAGAGAATTCCTTCAAATGTAAGTAAGATTTGGGTGTAATTGTCTCTATGGTCAAGTGAAAACTCCATGTAAGGCCATCGGAAAAGCTATCTGTTCGAGCGCTCTTGAATGAGTGGTAGTAGATTCGACAGCTCAACTCGTCGGAACATGTGGACAAATGCCATATTATCAACAAATAAAAAAGGTATGCCACGTTGGTTAACCAAACTGCTATCATTGACATAAAGAAGTGAAATTAATATACCGAGCGCACATCATTGTTTAAACCCGCTGGTAGTTGGACGCAAGGAAGAGCAATGATCGCCCAAGTGGACTATTTTAGCGGGACCGTTCATGTATGATGATAGCCAACCCATTAATGTGTTCCGGACTTCAAATAAATCTATCTGAATCGGTAACCGATTGTGAGGCACTCGATCGAATGCTTTCTGCATGTATAAGCATGGAATTAATATTGCATATCTTGAGTCACGGGAGTCTAGTAAGTAGTTCAGGTAATACAGCAACCAGAATATGTACGGTCGATAGCCAAGAAAACCATTTTAGGACCTGTCTATCAGCTCGTGAGTTGAGGAAATTGCTTACACTTGTCTAACAAGTTCATGAATAATCCGGATAGTATAGGAGTGTTACGAATCGGTCTGTAATTGTCAATTTCCCGTTTTGCGTAGCACTTGAGGCGGGGGCTGATAGATGAAGTTTTCTATTAGTCTACAAAGCACTTAGATCCCAGTGAAACGATAATACATTTGCAAAAGAAGCAGTGACATATCAGACCTTCCCAGTTTCATGGCGGATGGGGGGATGCCATTAGCTTCCTGAATTGAGCATGGTTGAATAGAATGTGTTGCTTGGTGGATATTGCAGAAAGCAATAGTATATTAGATGGAGCCATAATGTAATCAGAGTGTTAGTGTCAAAGTTCATGTAGGTGGAGAAGAAGGAGCTAAATGCTTCACAGATGGCCCCTAGATGTCGTCTACTAGTTCAGTGATTAAAGAAAAGCGATTGTTGCGTGAGCTTCATGTGTTCTCCCCATCAACTCTAAGTGCTTGATTTCAGAGATGAGTCGATGCATCCGTGGAATCATTGTAAAATAACCTATCGTATTATAGCACGCAATCGGTTTGTTGGATTTCTGACTCATCGAACGTTCGGCTACATCTTGTAGAACGCCACCGATCAGTTTTTTGTGAGTGCAGCAACGACGCTCATGACTTGCTGAACCTAATGATAGAAGTGCTCCACGGCTGTGCATGCATTGTTGGAGAGAAAGAAGGCATCTCAACCGCAGGAACGGATTATTTGACAGAAGGGTTCCCTGTTAACACTGCGGCTGGTGTAGTAGGATGGATGCACTTGTTTTGTGGCCATTTTAACGGCGAAGAGTATCATGTTATTGTTCCTACCAGGGATGTTCTATGAAACGACTCTCCGTAAGTTGACCATACCCAATGTAAACATCATGTTTACCGTGTTCGTCAACCTACTTGGTAAACCACTGCGTCCAACCAACTCTGACTGAATAGATGAAGGCTATGTGTATAGACAAGAACGCCTGGGAAGACCAGAGTATCGTCGGCATGCTGAAATCACCTATAATTATCTTTCGTTTATGTGTCAATACTAATGCAAAATCGAAATCTGAGGTGATAAAGACAACATTCATGGTCGATGAATTTGGCGAGTTGCGGATAGATGAAAGTAAACCGAGGCTTCTGATACGGAGAACTAGAAAGCATCAGCAAATTTTGCAAGTGGTGGATGTTCAAACCATTCAGTTGTACATGTGTGATTGAGTTACATTTAGTATCCTAAACATTCCCTTTTGCAGAGATCTTTACCAAAAGGGTGATAAAGAGAGGGTCATTCCAGCGTTCCAGCACCGCATCTCGTAATGTTACTGTACACATTTATAGTAAGTGTGAAACCGAAGACAAGGAAAATGTGCTAAGATACACCGGCAAAACCTACACCAAAGATGAACGCTCATCTCCGTTTCATTCCAGAGAAGCGGAAGCAAAGAATAAAAGTGACCTTTTAGGCACAAAAGGCAAGCACCACAGATATCCCGTGACTCTTCAGTTCAAAGACGCAGGGATTGCAACGTAATCTCTTAAAAAGTCGCGAAGCATTGCCAAAATTACTACCATAAAAGCAATGCACCACGTGACAAACCACACGTGCATACAAATGCAAGTCTGCAGTGCCGTGTATATTTGCCCCAAAAAGAATACAAATAATAATGCATGAATTGGACAGAGGCAACCAAGGCCGGTAATCCACTGAGAGTGGAAGTCATCAGCGGTTTCAAAATGGGACCAACTGAATGGTTATAAATGCACATGGAACCTCTGTTACATTCAGTGGCTCGACTGCTAACCTCAAGGCTTTGTCAACCACATCACTCGACAACGAAACACATCACTTTGCTACAAAAACTGCCGTATTGCTGCTAAATTCCACATCATCGCCGAAACCAGTACGGCATGGCCAATAAATATTGGCG